ATTTTTCATAATCGGTCGCTAAATCAGTCGCTAAATAGCGACTGATAAATTTTGGTCGCTAATTTTGGTTGCTATTTTGTAATTTTCTAGTAGTGTTCATCTTTATCCAGCTACTATATAAGAAGCTTCACAATCAGAAAGAATAAATAACCTTTTTGCATGCATTAAACATATTCAAATTCTTTCATTTCTTCTGTAAAGCTCTTTGTTCTTAAACTCATTGTATCACGTCTTGTTTGTAAGATGAAACAACTTTTGTAACTTTATCATCATATAACTGTTGTTATATAGGGTTGAACTTGGAGAGATTTGTTTGTAAAAGAATACTTGTTGTTTGAGCTTGAAAAGGCTTAATTGTAAAAGAATACTCAATGTTTAAGCTTGGAGGGACTTTGTGTGAAAAGAATACTCGGATAATTGCTTGAAGAGGCAAGTCAAATGATACTTAAGTTTGAGTCAAAAGTAAGTTGTTGAAAGAATACTTTTATCTTATTTAAGATAATGGAACTCAATCTGATTGGATTGAGAACTAGACATAATCTCAGTAGTTGAGACAAATCAATATAAAAACATTGTGTGTTTTATCTACTTTCTGTTCAACACTCTTTATTGTTAATGTTACTTCACCACTTTAAAATATGCGAGTTTTTTTATTGACACTATTCATCCCTTCTAATGTCTATCTTTTTTCCACACCAGCTTATAAAATATCTTATGAGTAATTCATAAGATGTTTTGAGCTTATTTTGTTGTTTAACATAACTTATTACTTATGCGAGAATTTGTTCAAAAATACCCAAGTTTGGATCTTGTCACCAACATATATAGTTTTTATTTTTATCTTTTTCATTCTTTTCACTAAAAATTATATATATATATATATATATATATATTCCATTACTCCCTCCAAAGATTTTCTTTCTCCTTCTAAAAATTTTCATTCTCCCTCTAAAAGTTTTTGTTCCTCTTTATTTTTTTCTCCTTTTCTCCTCCAATTTTTTTCACCTCTACTTCTTCCCAAAATCCACACTCCCATATAAATAAATAAATAAAAAAGAAAAAAAAACTCCAATGTTTATGCATTTTATTTTATTTTTAGTTAAAATTTAATATGTATTTTCTTAATTTTTAAAGTGACATAACAATTTATAAGTGTTTAAATAATAATACATCTAAACACTTTAACATTGTACAAATGTTTATTAATATGTAGATCTTAATGCAATAGAATATTAAATTTTAAACACTTATAACTTACATAAGAACTTATTTAATAAAATTTTAAATAAGTTATTTGTTCAAAAGGACTCTAAAATTAGAAAATTAATATATTTAAAAGAAAAGAAGATCACTGATTGAGGTCAAAGTACTCGTGATTATCTTACCTTTACCCGAAAATAAAAACGCGCTAGTGATTACTAAAATCTCAATCATGGGAAAGAAGAATATATCTTTTGTGCCGATCTTTTGTGCTCTTTAAAGATTACTATATGCTCCTTCCTACACGTAGAGTTAGCGATTCTAATTGAGTTTGAGGTTACTCCTTTTCTAACTGGGAGAATTTCACTTTTAAACTTTTTAATTTTAATCATAGACAAAAAAAATTGCTTCTATATATCTTATTTTATTTTATTTTTACCTATTTCTTTCCTTTTTCCTGTAAAAAATGGTTCTAATTATTTTATTTTGCCAATGTAGAATTTCATTAACTAATATTGTCAATCGATCCAGAACTTAAAAGAAATCCTTCTCCAAATATTTTGTGAAGAATTTCTAGATTTTACTGTCGAAATTGTGTAAACATATATAAAAACAAAATAAAAGTGCATCCACCACTGATTAAAATATATTATCTTTTAAATAAATTAAGAATATACTCATTCTTATCTTGAATTCCGACATTTATTTTACTAAAGAATAACGAATTTTATATCCTTGTAACTTCGCAAAGACTTGGATATATTTGATCATTTAAGGTGTTATAGTTATATATAGTTTCGGCATTATTTTGTATGAAGTACGATCATCTAAGATTAACTCTTATATTTTAAAGCACTTAATAGGATAATATATGATTTTATTGTAAAAACTTACATTAATCATTATACTTACAGAATCATCCAACAACAAGCAGCAGGAACTACTTTGAGTACTTGGATTTATACGTTCACCTTATCTAGATATATGCATAAATATATACATATATGTAAGCCAACTAGCTATACAAAAACATAGTAGTCATTATCGATTATATTGTCAACAACATGGCCCCATAACAGCTTTACAAGCTCACTTAAGCTATTCATGCCCCCACTCCTATGAAAATCATGATCATTGCAATCTTAACTACATGAAAAATACACAAGAGATGAGCTAGATTTCAAATATACAAAGCAAGTATAGGAATAAAACATCTATTCTCAACATCATCATGCAAATCAAGTAAACACATCACAAGATTCACATCCAACAACAATCACCATGTTTGAAAGCTAAAACACCTAAGTAATCAAACTTACACCATGATCATATAACATAACAACATACCCATCCAAATGCATATGAACAACAACAACAACAACTCACACCACGTCATATGCATACTCAACAATGCATTCACCTACGGAGATCTCCTAACACACCTAAACAATCTAAGTGACTTGACCTACTAAACCAACCTTGATTGTTTTCACGCCTAATGCACCTAGTAGATTGACAAATAAAAGGTATATCAATCCCTCCTATGATTTATCGGGTGTCACGACTTACACAAGGAAAGTTTAGTTTCACAATTAATCAAGACTAGCATAACTGGATATATAAGTGTATCACGATCATGATGTATTACCACATCACTTGTGGAATTAGCTTGCTAACTATTCTCAAGGAACCACGTAACCTTTTCAGTAATCAGTTAAGGATTGTAGCTCTCAACTTCATACTTTACTCCACATTGACTTAAAACCTAGAGGAGACTCAACACCCTTGGGAGCCTTGATCTGGTCGCTTCAAGCAATGTTTTTCTCACTTTAAGTATCTGAATTTGCTCAAAAAGCTCAAAAATTTGCTTTAAGCGAGTAAAGTCAAAGACCACCCCTGAACCTCCACATCTCCTCACTCTAAGTGAGCAAGTTCTCGCTCTAAGTGAGCTTGGCTAGAATGACTTAAAAAATCAACTCAACCATTTCAAACCCCATAGAACAATACATGTATACAATGTGACCCTCCATTCATACACATTCCTAACAACTCATTTTGCACCAGAATCATAACATGCAACAAAGGATTTGATCAAGATCATAAAAAATATCTTAGTCACCTTAAGAACATCCAAACCCACCCCGTCATCATATAATTTGAAATTTTCAACTATATACTCATGCTTGATCAAAATCAACAACATACAATCCAACCATCTCATTCTCAATGAATCCTAGTTTCCCTTACCTCGATTTTGAACCCATCAAGAACAGAGAAGAGGGAGAAGGAAGAACTAGCTTTGAGCTTTCGAATCCGAAGAGCTCCACACCACAATGCCTTGAACTCCTAGCCACAAGCTTTGAATCCGCTGCCCTAACACTCCTTACGCACCCTAAGGGAATTTAGGAGGAAGAAAAGAATACGAGGAAATTAGGAACCAAAGTCTATCTCTCTAGAATTCTCTCTTTCTAGATTCAAAAAGATATGAACTTATAAAGCTTAGTCCTAACCAGAAACCTTGTATAGTTTCCTCCCTCGAAGTCAAGTGTACCTCTAGTCAAAGACCCAAAAACTAACCAAACTTCTAAGAGTTACCCAACTCTTAGAGTCTCATAACACACATCCCAGCTCCATATAGATAAATAATTATTGTTAAAAGACAATAATTAAAACTTGTATGTTACATTTGTAACTTCAATAATAATAATAATAATAATAATAATAATAATAATAATAATAATAATAATAATATTGAAGTCACTATATTTGTGATATAGATTTTTTTTAAGAATTATATTTTGATTCTTCCATCAATTAATAGTTTTATTTTTTTTAGTAATGTGTAATATATTTAAAGTGAGAAAATATTTTTTTTAATTTTTTTTGTTCTATACTTATTAGTTCAGTGTAGAATCGTTCAATTATCCCTTAATTTCCCTCCAAAAAATAAATGTTGAACGAGTTCTTGTGAGAAGCAAATTAAAAACTAAAATCAGCAAACCTTTAACTAGGTACTCTCGTACAATGAATGAGGATAAAATTTAATCTAGCATCATTTCCTTAATCTGTCAAGCTGAGCATGTTCATCTTGACGCACACTCATGTTTCTCTGCCAATCTCATTTAAAAATACAGAAATTATTTTGTTCCCAATATTGTAATCACTAGATGAGGGCATAATTTTGTGATTATTTATTCCAACACAAGCTTTGATAAAGATTAAAAGATAATATACTTGACTTTTTTAAATGGTACGTTATTATAAAACAAGTTTTATTCATCTCTTATTGTCTCACTAGATTTATCTCTTATATACGTGTTTGCATCTAGTTAATGCGAAATATTTTTATAAGGGGGAGATGTCAAAGCTAAGGAAAATTTAAACTCATATAAAGTCTTAAAAAAATACAAAATCTTAAAAAAAATAAAAATAAATAAATAAATAAAAAACTCATGACTTATATATTTTAATTTAATTATTAATAATAAGTTTTAATAGCTAATATTTATTTCTTTTACTTTGATTAAAAAAAAAAACTGGTCTACATATATACTGATATTTTTTTCTTAATTATGCTTTATCTTCCCTTTGAAAACTTACGAATAAAAGATAAGGACATACAAAGCATTATGCAAAAGGGTGGCAATAATGTCGTGGATCAGAGAATCATACTATACTACATTCGACTGAATAATCTGATTTGGACTGAATGAGAATAATAATAACTAATGCATGCAACTTTGCAATAAGAACAAACATAATTGCAGCATAACTATAGCAGTAAGTAAATGACACTTAGCATATCTTAACCGAAATACAAAATAAAAAAGAGAGAATATTATCTAAAAGATTAAAATTCATATTAACAGAATAATATACACAGTTAGAGTCTCAAGACTCTTGCCTATATAACTCCTCACATCGTAGCATTTCCAAAACCATAGACCCATATATAATATATTCATCATAAATACAATTAAGCACTAGTGATCTTATAGAAAGAAGAAAAATAAGATCAAAATGCCTGTGTACATACCTACTAGAATGCCTCATGATCAATTCGTCCCTACTAGAATGCCCGAGTACAAGACAAAGGGTCTTCCACCAAATATAATAATTGCTGAAAAGCAAATAAGGGATATATTAACGAAAGCAGATTGTGATGGAGATGGTTGTCTGAGCAAGGATGAACTCGAGAAAGTTTTCAAGGAATTTGGTTCCAAGTTACCAGGATGGAGAGCCAACCGTTTTCTCAAGAAAGCTGACACCAACCACGATGGGATACTCACCAAGGAAGAACTTGACATTATTGTTGATTATGCTGTTGCTAGGTACAAGTTCAAAGAGTAGATGAATATCATAATGATTCGCCCATGTGCCATAGGGGTTTAACTACATCTCCGAAAGCATCTAAATGAGGCGCCTATATGTGTATAAAAAGAAAATATTGTACTTGAATAATTCAAATAAAGGTGAAGAGTGTTACATTCAAAATTCAAATAAACTAAATCAATGTCTAACTATTACAAACTTTAAGGAAAGTACGTTTTAAGGAAAGTAAACTATCATTCTTAAAACAAAAAACATGAAACATAATTCAATATCCATATTATCACAAGTATATCAAAGCTCTCCCTTCAATCAACTAGACTTCTCCTAAAAAGAAGTCTCCTGCAACCACATATAAACATAACCAAGGAAAAATAGGAGAGTAAGAACATATCTCACTCCAACTATCGGTATAGAATAAGACCGGATAATTAATCACACACAAACATTATATATAAAACCAATAATTAAACTCATCATCAATCCATGCAATAATTTCAACTCAGTTTATATCTCATTCCATAACAATATCAATCAAAATATAGTTTAAATACAAGCAAAATGTTATGAATATATACAGACTAGACACTCATAATCTATATGCATGTGGTGTCAGTAAAAACCTTTTCCCTGCTTGAAGGTTGAGTAGTCTAGGAATACATGAGGGTCAAGCCATCACAACACTCTCACTAAAAGAATATACTATTAGGGTCTCGTCAAGATAGTTGAATCGTGCAAGATATGCCCCATGCACAAAACAGGTAAAATTGGGGCTTCCCAAGCTAAACTATCCCCAAGGATTAATCCCAATCTTTTATACAAGAGGGTCTTCCCTAACGGTATATTTCGCATCGTACCCATCACAAAACACAAATGCACATAATGCATGACATTGAAAACTCAATGCATTACTACACAAATTTACTTACCACATATCATTGATAACACATCATGCTTTATCACACAATTATCACTTTATCACTTCACAATTCATCACATCATTTTCACTTAATTATCACAGACACTTATATACACAAAGCACCTGCACATACATGTACAAAAGAAGTAGGTTCAAGCAAGGAATTGTGCCTAGTGAGATACATCCTATGTCAGACATATGCAAGGTCATGAGCCTTTGGAATGAAATCACACACTACGTGATCCTCCCAACTCTTGGCAAGATGCATTTAAAAGACCTTTATAACTCTCGCACCCAACATGACTACACTCACACCTAGCGTCAATAACCACAAGTATTTCAGACTTTCATGCCTAGCGATACCAAGCCCATGCCCGATGTGGTTGAGGCCGCAAGCATTCTGGTTTACCCGTGTCTAAAGAGACCAAGTTGCCACCTAGTGTGGTATCAGTAAAACTTAATATGCATAATTCACAATTTTTTTTTCAAATATGTGGCTACTACGATCTCTACAATTTTAATTTGTTGAAGGGGTTTCTATAATCTAATTAATCCACATTTTAGTCATGCAATTTACAAATATTATATATGAATTAGCTCCAACCTAAGGGTTTATATACATCCTTAGAGTTCCTCTAGGAACGCACAAGCACTCATAGGTTCACATCAATACATCAATACATGCATCTACCATATACAGAACATTCAATTTCATATAGGTTCACAAAAAGAATTGAGTTTAATCCCTCTCCGACATACATAGACACATCCTAGGGATTGGGGGCCAACCCCACTACCCAACAGTTACCCTATACCCTGGAACGAGGTTCTCACTCTCCCTTACCTTGATTGACACTAACTTCAAGATTTTGCTCTCCCAATTCCTCTCTGACTACCTTTGATTCGCTTCCCTCTTTAGATCACAATGTACGGTTAGATAGCATATGAGGCAGACCTAACATTACTAATGTATTTAAACAAAACCCTAACCCTCACCTGCATGTGTAGCCCATCAATAAAAAAACCCAACTAATTAACCTCACATATTTCAATTTAAAAAGATAATTAACAGATATTATCTTATCAAATCACTTATAATATTTTAAACCCCAATTAATTAATTAGAAAATCTTTTACAAATTAATTCCTTTAAGTCATCCTCAACTGTACAATCTCACACCTATACAAATCTCTGGATCCCTCTCATTCTAGTGTGTCCAAGTTATTACAAGTCCACTAGCTTTTGCCTAGTTTGTCCTTGTACCACCAAATGTGCCACCTTCTACCCCGCATGTCATAACATATGAATAATATAAAATTGAACAACCTCAATAATAAATGAACTCAAAATCCATATAGGTAGAAAGCATCACATTATTAATGCAAATTAAACATGACAAAAATAAAAAATTATAAAAGAATTAAAATTAAAATACTCAAATTAAATAACATAAATTAAATACTAGTTAGTCCTAACTAATCTTTGGTGTCACATATCCTATTAGAGTGAAACTCAATGTTGAGGTCTAGGACTCATCGCCAACATCGTTAGGATCATGCTAATGATCACCTATAAAAATCACAAGGAAACAATACAAAAGGACAAGGAGCGAGAAACATCTCACTCTACCTCATGGTGCAAGAATGAAAATCGCTAGCTAAACACAAACAACACATATAATAAGATATAATATACACAATTACACATCATCATATGTAACTCATTCATAGCATAGTAAGCAATAGTATATAAGATTATAATGCATATGCAATGGACACAGACTACATGTTATCATGCATGTAGTAAAAACATCACATATCACATTTGTGCATTGCCACTAGCAACACACTAGAGTAGTCTAGGAGTATATGTTGGGCCACACCCTTTGTGCATTCTCATTATAAGGATATACTACTAGGCTATGGTCGAGATAGCTAAGCCGTGTAAGATACATCCCATACTCACGAGATCAGGATTGAGACTTCTAAATTGAGCTATCCCTAAGGTTGGTTCTCAAGCTTTTACACAAGGGACCATTCCTAGCGGTGTATTTCATATCGTACCCTTCAAAAAACTTTAATGCATATGATGCATGTCAAACAAACTCTATGCATAACATTTCACATGATCTTATTAATTCACTATCAACTGAACCCGTATCATAAAATCATCAACCATTATCAATATAACAATTAACAATTCAGCTATATCAATTAAATATTAACAGTAAATGGAATAAGGAATCACATTCAGTTTGCAAGCTTGGAAGCCACTCTCACTCGCTTTCCAACTCCCTCCTAGGGTTGGGATAATCCCTTGAGAAATTCCCTTTCCCTCGGAAATTGTAGTAATCCACCCCTTGCTCTAGACAAGCAAATGCCTTGTTGCCCAAACGACCACACTTAAAACAATTCACCTAAGCTATTGGTGTAGGTCACACACTTCCTCCACATGTAGACTAGCCCGTTGTTAGTTATTGGTTCCTTGAGTGAGATTATTGATTTCCCTTACGGATACTAGACTAACTCGCAAGTGGTGAGTATGGATTGCTTGTACTAGAGGAACCATACCTCCTTTGCTTTCTCACTGGTCCCACACATACTCTTATAGTGAGTTAAATGCGCCTTGTCATCCTTATCAGAGATGCAACACTTATTTACCAATATAAAGAATTTATAAATCTCCAAGAAATTCATGACTTGTTTGATCTTTAGTTGTAGGCTGTTGATGAACTTCGCACACTTGGATTGTTCATTATTTTCATTGTTGTAGTGGGAACAAAAAACACACAAACTCTTTAAACTTGATGATTGACTCCACCACCATGCCATTACCTTACTTCAACTCTAAGAACTCAATCCCCTTCTTATTCTCCACATCCTACAAGAAGTATTTCTTTAAGAAAATCTTTTTGAAGTTCTCCTAGCTTGGTAGAGTACCCTCCACCATCATCAGCTGTAAGTTGTTATGCCACCAGAACCCAACATCCCCTAGACAACTTGAAGGTGACAAGGGACACCTTTTGTACATTAAGGAACTCTATAACCTGGAAGATATTTTCTACCTCAAAGATTCACTCTTTAGCCCCATTGGGATCATTTCCACCTCTAAAGGTAGGTGGATCGTTCTACTGAAGATTTGAAAACCAGTTGGTTCCTGCAACATTCGTATTTCCCATCACTTGAGTTATTGCCTATGAGGCATTGTAGACCCCTAAAATTGTCCGGGTCGGAAATAAAGCTCAAAGACTCTCAAAGACCGAAGGAAAGTCAGCCGGAAGGACTCTTGGAAGACCCTAGGATGATTCTTTGTAGGTCTAGAAGTCTTAGAATAGCTTAGAATAAGGGTGTGCAAGGATTGGAGCTCAATACACCCTCCCAGAGGTTCAGTACGGCCGTACTGGGCCATTTGAACTGCAATACGGCTGTACTGAACTCAATACGGCCGTACTGAAGTTTTTGAACTTCAGTACGGCCGTACCAAATTCAATACGGCCGTACTGTAGTTCAAAAACCTAGTACGGGCCGTATTGACCTCCCAGGCCGTATTGCGCCTCAATCCTATAAATAGGACGTCATTGGCACGTCCTTCCACACTTTTTACACATTCCTCAACCCTCCTACTGAGTATTCTTGGGTTTTTGAGCTTTTCTCTGCCCTAGATATCTCTCCGGGAGCCGATCCGACGAAGTTCTTGAGTCATGAGCCATTAGCTTGAGATTCGAACAAGTCGAAGGGAAATCTCTTTGATTTCCATAGTAAAAATTTGTCTTTAGGGGAAAGGAGCGAGCGGACGTGTAGTGGGAAGGAGCGCCAAAAAGCCTCCTAACGTTGTTCTGATATATATAAAAGCCCGCTTCGGAGGTTTCTTTCTAAATCCTTTCTTTTACCGCTTTTATTGATTTTTGATTGTCGCATTGCATGTTTAGAGCTTTCATCATGTAAATATTTAATCTATAATCGTTTCTAATAAATAGGGGTAATTTAGTAACTTTACACTGTTATTTATGAAATAATCCGTCATAGGGAACCCGAAAGGGGCGTTGTGGGGTGCTAACACCTTCCTCGCACGTAACCGACTCCCTTACCCGACTCTGGTTGTAGTGGCCAAAGTTGATTTATGAAAATCAATTGCCTTATATCTTTTTCCAATGTTTTGAGTAAAATATTGGTGGCGACTCCAAGAACCCTTCTTTTTATGAAAACCGCTAATCTATGGAGGGTCCTGTTTGGGATTAACATAGGTTGGTGAGAATCATTTAATAAGTATTGTTAGTTCGATGAGGTCTCAGTTTGAGAATAAGTCGCTCTAACAATCCACCATTTTTTAAAACTTAAAAAGAGTCCGACCATCGTCGCGAATGCCAATGTCCGTTTCGGCGGGTGGCGACAGGCATCAGTTAAAGCATGACCATTCCTTCCTGCCATTACGTTTTCGGTTGCCAAAAAAGTGCAGAAGGTGAAAAACAACTCAAACATCCAAAACACAAGTCAGAGTACACACAAAACATTACAAAATTTCATAATACACTAAGTGAATGAACCAACTTGCTATAATACCATATAAAAGGATCATTTAGAAAGTATGTTTAAATCAAAAGGATAATATAAAACAACTTCATTAATACGTATTCTTAAATGATTTACATGTCTTTAATAAAATCTTTATAGTATAAAAAGGGAAATAACACAATATAAGCTCATAAACTAAGCTACAAACAAACCTTTTTACAAAACCTCAAAATCATATAACATTATAAAACAAACTAAACTTCATCCATAACTAAAGAAAATATTATAAAATCTTCTAGTCCTGATGTCACACTATCTTGGCAAGATCCCAAAACATCAACTGGAGCATTAAGCTTCCCTTCCCTCATGTTCGACCTCATATACCTACTTTACTCATGCATATCAATCAACTCAAACAAGAACAAAAAAAACAAACAAAAAGAATGGAGCATATATCTCATCCATATATAACACATATATGGTATAAAGGTAACATACTATGCATCATACAACTACAATTTAAATCAACATAATTTATTTAGTACTCATCTCATATCATTCAACACATTAAATTCCCATCATACTCATCATTATATAAAGACTCATGCTACTCATGCTCCTAACTCTATGCATGTGGTACCAATTTCCAACATCATCAAAAGGTGTTCCAATACAAGGCAACCTAGAAGCACATGGACCAAATCACCAACACTAGGTGACCATGTCAATCCACTCTAGACAGGGGAAACTCTACCAAGATCCAAACAATGCATTATGGTCAATTGTGGTTGCGCCCCACACTCGGCATCAATTTCTTGAAAAAATATGTTAAATAATTCCATGAACACCCCTTACTCAATACAGAGAAGTCAGAGACTTCACTATAGTTCTCACGCTCAATGTGGCCCTCTCCACGCCTAGCACGAATTCTACACCCATCGCATTGACCATTGCCACAAATCCTACACTTTGTAGAATCATGAACCTCACAACTTAGGGTCTCCAAAAGCCATTTGAATCCAACAAAAAATTCTTACCCTTAAAACGAGTGAAAAAATTTTATATCACTCATATAAAAAATCTATAACATCAAATTACTCTAATTTATTCCTTCCAAACAAAAGCCCAAATCATACAATCCTAACCCTCAAACAATTCAATGCACAATAACACAATTACTTATCATAAGGTGCAAAAATCCACATCATTCATGGTCATACAAATGTAAGAATCTCATATCATTAATCATTCCTATCAGTCGCAAGATAATAATAAATCCTAAAAAGGTTTAGGGATTGACTCACTACACCCATACCCCTCATATGTGTCTATGAATGAGATATTTCCACTTTTCCTTACCTAGTGACGAATTTTGAGGCAAGCACTCATCGTCTTTGCCACTACTCCATGCACTCTTTGGTATTTCCATCTATAAGCACTCTTAGGGTTCAACTACTACATCATACTCTCTGTGTTGGTCTCCTTTAGTTTTCCCTCTACAAATGCTCTTAGAATTTTAGAAGGATGTGTAGTGAAAACCTAACCTTTGTTTTTGTTTTTGTTTCTAAAAGACTTTAAGTTGGGCTTAAAATCCAACCCAAACTTTTTTTTTTCTTCACCCCCTTCTTATTTTATTGATAAATAAAAATATCATTTATATTATAAATTTATTTATTTATTTATTTATTTAATTAAGCCCATAATGTAATTTTTTATTAAAAATAATCTATTTTATTTTATTTTAGAAAATTTGGGGAAAAAGTGCTTTGTTTTATCCCTTGTGAAATATATATATTGTTCGGGCCAAAAGGATGACTAGGGATCTTCTCCTAGGTCAATTCCCTTAAGCCAGAGTATTCGAGAGTAAGTCATCTGCCTTCTTAGCTCTAGGGTTCGAGGTCTTGTTTGTTTATAGGCCTCATGGGCCCCGTAAGCATGGGAATTTTCATGACAGTTTTTATTTGGAAATATTTGGTTATTAATGATGGGATTTTATCCATGATATGACTACCACTATTAAAGGCCTCGTCCTGTGACTCTCAGTGGACTATTGTCTTGGTAACAACGTCTCGGTATTTTCATGTAGGAGATCTCGGTTCAGCTCGAGTTCCTAGTGTACCCCTCTTCTCTAGGGGCATATATCGGCACTCGACCGAGAGGCTTTGTGAATTTCAATAAATGTTCCCTAAGAATGATCATTCTCGGATCTTGTTCGAGAATCCCCTGGAAAAATCATATCGGATAATGACCGAGACAGTACATATATATATATATATATATATATATATGTATATCT